AGGAAATGTATTTACCATACTGTCCATCCAGTCCAGGGAGACCTGCATCTCCTGTAGGTCCAGGAAAGCTTTCTATTGATCTGGGTCCAGGAGGTCCAGGGATACCCGGGCTCCCTTTCAATCCAAAAGGACCTGATATACAGAAAGTAAAAAAATCTATTGCTATATATATTATTGCACATTGAATCTGCACATTTTTGATTTCATTGAAGTCTATTTCACCTGGTTCTCCTCTTTGTCCTTTTTGGCCGGGATACCCTGGAACACCGGGTTGGGAAACACCTCTTTCTCCCTTCAACCCTGGACTACCAGAAAGGCCGGGCCTACCTCCCAGAATTGCACCTAGATTAAAAAACATAAAGTTGTTAAATCTTTCATCTTTGCAAGCCTAAAACAATCAGACGTATGTTGACCCTGATGAAGAGGGTGAAAAGGTTGAGCTTTGCCAAAGCAGTATGCCTCACAGCTTTGAATAATGAACTTTCCTTTTCTGCAGACACACAAAGGGCCAAAATGCAAAACTGCTCATCGTTCCTCAGTTATCGAGCCATAACTACTTGATACATTCATCTATTCTTACTGGATCATGCTAAGATTAGCTTTAGCTTTGGATTATCTGGCTTATTGTACATCTCATTTTGGTTTACTGAGTACTGAGTGAGTAGTGAGCTGTGAAATAAAGCAAGAAATATAGAATCAGCTGGTGCGTGAAATGTGATTCTTGCCTGGGTTTCCAGACAGGCCTTTAGGTCCTGCTAGGCCATTAAGGCCATCCAAACCAGGTGGTCCGGGAAAACCTAAAATAACAAAAATAAAACAAACAAACAAAACATTAAAAACACTGGAAAAGACCATTTTTTTAACCTCATTTGGAAAAATCATTGTAAGATTAGTGTATGAATGTAGTGGATTTTCTTTTTTCCTTTCACCTTTAAACCCACGATTTCCAATGAATCCAGGCCGACCAGGAAGCCCATCAGGCCCCCTTCCTATTCCTGGCAATCCAGGCTGACCTTTTGGTCCAGGGAAACCAGGAGAGCCTGCAGAGAAGAAAAACGACATCTCAACACTTTCTGTAAATACAAATCTCTACGACGTCATGAAGGAATTACTGCAACAGGACTTTGTTTTCTTAGGAGTTACTCACCCATTATTCCATACCGCCCCTGTTCACCAAGAATCCCCTTCTGTCCGAGGAAACCTGGATTTCCTGAAAATCCATTATCGCCAGGTTCACCAACTTTCCCTTGGTCGCCTGTCGACATATTTAAAATGTTATAAAACTTCTGAAGAAATCAGAGATTGGAGACCAACTCTGATCTCCCAAAAAGCTTGTCCCACAGTACTAAGAATTTCTTCACCTGCACTAAATATATTTATTTTACTAAAAATAAAATATAAAGGAAATGTAAATTCTGATCCACGTCAACAAGTTTATAAAATATGACAACAACAACACTACAAGTGATGTGATGCTGGATGCTTTTCTTTATTTACAGAGATGTGAAAAGGGAAAGACCATCTCTGAATCGAGGAGGGGGCCTAAGGGTACATCTTTCACCATCTTACAATTGCTGTGATTGCAGCCGTTCCCCAACTCTCTGTGAATGGTACTCATGGCCATTGATCAGTGGTTGCTGATCAATGGCCATGACAAATAAAGTTTCACCGTAACCAAGTAAGGTGAGTCTTACCTGGGATCCCTGAATCTCCTTGTCGGCCTTTAAGTCCTGGTGCTCCAGGATAACCAAAAGTTTCTCCAGGTAGTCCTAAGAGAAGAAAGCATTTAAGTCAAAGGATGTTTGATTTGATTATGAACAGATGTAAAGAAGATGTTTATCACTGATGGTAGACTTCATATGTACTAGTGCTGTGCGATATGAACAAAATCTCATATCCTGATATAACACATTTATCGTCCCGACAACGATATAAATCACAAAAATGTAACATTTTCTGTAAATTCTGTGAATCTCGGGCAACTTGCGTGAAGCTGGGTGTCGTGTACCTTATTTGAGGTATTTTCATTAATGCATATTCCAAAATTTGACGTTTGAGAATACTGTATATTATCATCACGTCAGTTTATTTTGAAAAGTTGGAACAGAATCTTCGGCTTTATTGTGACACTTTTATGTGGAAAATAAACAAGCGGATGGCGGAGCCACATGCTGCAAACAACAATGCATGAAAACAGTCGCTTGCCCATGCATAGTGCGTTTTTTTTAAATAGAAGAGAACGTGAGAACTATTAGAAATTAATATAGCCACTACAATATTGCCGTAAACAGTTTATTTTGGGACACAACGAAACAAATGATAGTGTAATACAGATGTTCTCATATCATCATCCGATGCATATCTTTATATCCAACAGCACTAATATGTACTCTTACCTTTGGCACCAGGCCGACCAACTTCTCCAGGCCTTCCAGATAAACCTGGAAAGCCATTATTGCCCTAAAAACAAACAAACAAACATCCGAATTTTAATCTCTGCCTGGCAAAATTTGCTACATGTATATGCATCTTTTCTTACTTTTGGTCCCACAGTGCCGGGGAATCCCATAATTCCAGATTCTCCTTTTTGTCCAGAGAAGCCTGGAAGTCCTGTTTCCCCAGAAAGGCCAGGTTCTCCCGGCAGCCCTTTACTCACATCAGGGAAACCAGGAGCTCCAGGTCGTCCTGGACGACCAGGTGCACCTGGCTGACCCTTGTCACCTGTTAACCCAGAGAAAGATCAGAGTTTGTAACACAAGGTGATGGATGTTCACAGCAGCAAAAAGCAGTTAAATTCTTCATTAGAGAGCCTACATTTTGCAGAAGTGCGAACAGCTGCAGTTCCACTAGTGGGAACTTGGGGCTGGCTCTGAAGGTCAGTATCTGGAGACTCCCGTATGAAAGTGCTAAACTGTACAGCATGTTTTCAGCATGTAACAAAATGCTTTTTTAGGGGTTTACTGATAATTTCCCCCTTCTTTAAGAGCACAGTACAGATATTTGTTTTTGTTAACTAGAGGTATCCACAGACTAGATCTTCTGTCTGCTTTCATCTGTCCTGCGGTCTATGTAGCTCCCACAATTGTGTAAGTCCTCATCTATGAAAAAATTCCTTTTTTAACAAAATATGTAACAAATATGAATCTCTTCTCTAAATGATTTAAAATTCACCAGAAGATCCTAATAAAGTCTGCAGTTAATTTATGCCCTTCAGATTATCCGGTGACGTTCTGAAAGAAACAAAGCACCATGTTACCTCTGGGTCCAGTAAAGCCAGAAAGGCCGGTTATTCCAGGGTCTCCGATGTCTCCTTTCTGTACAAGATCAGATGGAAAAGGTCTACCAGGAAATCCGGGTGGACCAGGTAATCCTCTGTCACCTGCCAAAGTAAAAACAGAGGAATGTTGCCCAAAATTTAGGATGAGCATCTAATGGTGTGAGCCCTGCAGAAACCTACCAACCAATGGGAATGCCTTAGGACAAACGGAATTCAAATGTACAAAAACTAAATATCTGGGATGCTATTAAAAGTCTAACTTGTTCATGTGAGATTGTTTGCAGCAAGTGCCCTTTAGATGCTGTTGTGACAGAGCCAAGTATTAGGCGGGAACAAAACAAACAGTGGGGGAATTGTAGCCATGCGTAACCATGTCACACAGTTTGCCTCATGATAACCTCAAGGAGTAGCATTAGCATTGCTAATTCATTCTTTTATTGGCCCAGGATCAGTACACTTATTCCTTTGGGGGATATTTTACCTTTAGTTCCAAAGAATCCAGGCGACCCAGGGCGTCCATTTGCTCCAGGCACTCCAGGCTGTCCTTTCACTCCGGGAAATCCTGAACTGCCAGGAGGTCCCGCAAATCCAGGGAAGCCTATCATTCCTTGGATGCCTCTGTCACCTGTGGAAATTAGCATAGTTAGTCACTATTATGATATCTGTAACAAAGCAGAATGGCAGTGACAATGTCAGTAATACTGGACAGGTAACTGAAACATATGAAGCAGAGAAAAAAAGTGAAATGTTTGCCCGTCATTGGTTGGCTCTATTGCGCTAATAAGAATTAAAATGAACTGAGAGGTCGTGCTTCCCTTAGGCAGCATCATTCAAGGGTACAGCACACATTTTCTTTGTTATTCAGATGGCGCTCAGGTTTATCCATCCTCAAATCCTGACGACACAAACCTGCAAAAGTGTGCGTTAAACGGCAGGAATGTCTTACAGACATACAGACTTGATGACCTCTGACTTCTGATGAAACTGAGGTCATTGAACTTGGCCCTAAAAATCATGCAAACATATTGTCTAACCTAATTATCTGGGCTTCTACTAACACTGTGAGATATCTTGGAATTGTTTGACCAGATTTTGTAATTCATTGTTATCGGGCTGTCTTAAAAACTCCCTGAACAATCTTAATAAAGTAATCTTGTTCACCACCACACCATGGTCAGTACATTGCAGCATTGACCGTATTACTGATGTTCGTACAATGGTGATATGAATTCCCCAACCATGCCTTTATAATGTGGGAGTCAACCAGTAGGATCACTCTGTCCATCATCATAGTCAGTAAAGTCATGATCAACATCTAACACGACACCACTAAAAATGACAAACAAAAAAACTACTTCTGCAGACCCTTTCTTCCTGGCGTTCCTGGTATTCCATCTATAGTCCCTGGTCCTGGTAAACCGGGGCGTCCCCTTGTTCCTGGTAACCCAGTAGCACCAGGTCGTCCGGGAGTTCCTTTCATCCCAGCAGGCCCTGGGAAACCTGGTTCTCCTCTTTCTCCTTTCCGACCAGGGAAACCTGCCAATAATGGAAGGAGAGACAGTGAGAAAAACAAAACACTGACAACAATCTGACATTCATATAGACACATGGAAAAAGGGCTGCTGGCTAATTATCTGGAAAAGCATGCAGTCTTCGGGTGCTTACCAGATTTTAAAATTACACAAATACAACCTCAAATGAACAACAACACATTTCATAATGTAGTCCAAAAGTCAATAGTAGTTAGCATCACCTTTAGCAACAATAACTTGATAATGTTCTGCATGATTTTATCAGTCACATCATTTTCTAATAATCTTGGCTCAGTATTCTTGACAGCGTTACTTCAGTTCATGAAGGTTTACAGAAATTAATTTATGCACAGCTGAACACAGCATTTAAGTCATTGGTTCTGTTTCCATGTCTCCCCTGTGTCGATGCTCCATCACGCATGCTAACTTCTGTCTCCATGTTTATTCATCTGTTTCCCAGTCGTGTCTCTCGCTGCCTTGGTTCCCTGTGTTCAGTTAGTCCATACTTTAGTGTGTGTCTCATGTTTCCTGTTTTATTTTGATAGTCTGTTGTCCTGTCAGTTTTGCTTCCTCCCTGTCTGTTATGTCTGATTAGTTCCAGCTGTGTTTCCCTCTGTTTCCCATCATCTCGTTATCCTCCGTGTAATTAGTCTGCTGCCTGTTTTTTTGTTACTTAGTAACGCAGTAACACAGTAGCGTACGGTAAAGTAACAGTAATCTAATTACTTTGTTGTAGTAGTAATCCCTGACTTTTCTCTCTACTTGAAAAAGTAATCGGATTACATCACTTTTAACACATTACTGCCCATCTCTGCTAATGACCTTTAACATTTAACATGACAACTGAGCCCTGTAGAGTCTGAGATGTACCTCTTGCACATTTTCACTGAGCATTGCAGGACTGATTGAGGGCGAATTTGCTGGTAGGACCGCTCCTACACTTTTTACGCAATGCTTCTTCTTTTTGCTTTTGTTTTTGTTTATTAAATACACAATGCAACATGTTTTGTAGTTCATCTGAGGCTGTGTTTGCCTAATTTTAAGACCTGCTAAGGACCAGACTATCTTTATTATGTTCTTATAGGTACAACCTTAGAATTTAAGAGGCTAATCTTTCATTTTGACCATAACTGTATCATAATATAATAATATGTATTATTATCTTTTGTATGATGAATACACTTACCTCCGAACAATCAGGTTTTAAGCTAGTTTTTCTATCTTTTAACACACATATTAAAGCAGCCTTGCAAACAGCAACAACAATGCCATCACACATTTCTTTACAATACTTCATTGCTGCGATTGGTCTGTAATTGCACCCAGATTGCAGATTTTGTTGCAGAGACATGAAAGCTCAGTGTGGCTAATTTTGATACTCACATTACAGGAGAACCAGCCGATTGGTAATCATACTGTTTCTGAGTGCAATTCCAGACTAGCAAGGTTAAGCCATCTAAAGCACACTAACTGCTACTGTTTACATTCTTAAAAAATGAACCCATTTTCAGCACATCTGTGCTGCAAAGTTGCAGCTTATCACTTTTTGATCAATGCAAGGATGCGCTGAAAATAAGAAGTCCTTTCAAGAGTGTAAAATAAAAAGCTTCTAGCTTTGAGTTAAACAGCGTTTGCCCCCAAATCTTCAATTTTCACACAAACCTGTTACAGTTAATTCATCAAACACATCTGGAACTGATTAGACAGAAACACTTAGTTCACAATGAGGTTAGTCGTTTCTGCAAGTAAGAACAGCAAACAGTGGTTTTCACATTTCCTGCGGAAATGCTTTGTTTACAGAACTGTTACAAAATATCCATCTGGTTCAGTCTTTCTGTGGGGTGTGATGATGTCATTTCCTTCTAGCATCATAGTTTTATGTACTTTAAAATAGTTAGTGATGCAAACACAGTCAAATGGCACGATTATGATGAAGCACCTCATCAAACATAGGCAAAAGTCATCGTCTCTTAGATAATGAGGTAACACTATATTTGGAGGAGGTAAGCTGCTCCACCCCCTCCCAAAAGACAAAAATAAATAAAGAACAAAAATAAAAGAAAATAAATAAATTAATATGCCATTCAATTAATCAAAAATAATTTGAAAATAATAAATAATATAGGCATTAATGTTTTACTTTGCCTCTGTATTCATTCACCTTCATATTAATTACTTTCCTTTACCATCTTTTTTTTCCAGAGACGTGGTGTTACACCCCATACGAGACTCCACGACTGCACTGTGGAGATGGACATTTGTGTGCAGCGCAGATGAGAAATGAAGGCAGCAGTTCAAGTGTTTGTTCTAATACACCAACAGCAAGAGGATGGAGGAAATGCAAGCCAAGGGTGGCGCGGCTGGGAGGGAGGAGAGATGGACAATGGGACGAGGGAAAGAGTGTCTCACCTGGGCAGCCTATAACGAGTGACCCAACACCAACAAAAAAAGGATGGAGGGATGAGAGGATGGATGGAGATGATGATGGTGGTGGTGGTGTTGGGAAAAAAGATGAAAGTGACAAGGAGGAAGAACAGAGACATGGAAAAATACAACAATACAAAAACAAAGAGGGAGAAGACATTCTCGTGGGTGATGCAGTGTTTGATAGACAACACGATTCAAACGGGCAACTGTGATGATGGAGACTGTGAAAGAACGATGTGAACAAAAGAGGAATGAACCAGAGCTGGTGCAGGGATGAGAGGTGAAGGATTTCAGTAGAGATCACAACAAAGTCATATTTCACCTTCTTTTGCAATAATTCACACTAAGAATCTCTCAAAGGTACAAATTCGAGTGTAAAATGTGCAAAAAATATAACAAAACCCCCAAATCATTTCTTTCTCTCACCTGGTGGTCCTCTCAGACCCTTACTACCATCAGGGCCAGGTGGACCAGGAATGCGACCATCTGGGTCACCTGGAGGCCCAGGAAGGCCAGGATTACCAGGAAAACCGTTAACTCCGCGTTCTCCTTTTCGACCAGGAGCACCAGGACGTCCATCAAACCCTTCAAGAACAGACTTTGTTTACAAAGTGTTGCTTGCAGAAGCATTTGAATGCTAAGTCAGCTGGCATTTGTTATTTCAGGACACCCATCGAATACTATGTTTTTATTTGTTTTTATTAAAATAAGTAACTGACTTAAATCCTGCTACCCACCAGGCATTCCGGGTCCTCCAGGTGTTCCCGGCTGGCCCTTGTCTCCAGGAATTCCTGGTAAACCGTTCTGACCAGGAAATCCAGGTGTAGCTCCTAGCACCTCTCCAGGCTGGCCCTTGGCTCCAGGACGGCCTTGGAGACCGTCCTTACCCCTGGGCCCATCAAAACTCTGCCCTGGGATACCTGGAATACCAGGGTCCCCTCTGGGTCCAGTGAAACCTGCAGGGAATGACATCCCGAGCAACGCATTAAAATGCACAACAGTGAAGTTGGAAGCACCCTCTCTATCACTCTCTCTGTGACAGGAAGTTGTAACCAACCAAGGTTAAGGACAGGAAACTGTCAAAGATCAAGGTTAACGATTAAATATCGATAGACTGAATGTGGGGGAAATTCAGAATTTTTGATTTCAGATGAAGTTCTGGGTGCACTCTGAATGTAAGCAGTTTATGTGAACAGATGTTTTGACAATTTGTCCCAGTTAATCAGTCTGCTATCACAAACAGATTGCATGTAATTACCACTTGATCCTATTTAATCACAAAGTGATAGCAGACTGACTGTCTTTTTGCCATTTTAACGCCATCTTGAAACACCAAGGTTGCTTTGAAGACATCACCTGCCCATGCGCATGGTTGTAGACGTGGCCCCTGCAACGCGAACATTTCAAGATCTCCATGTTTATTGACATGTTTTAAACATGTCATTTTGTTTATGGCACAGCCTCCAGTAACTGCCTAATCATAAATGCAGCACTAGAAGCAAAAGAAAAACCTGTCAGGGGCTGGGTCTGTGACCCGGTGTTTTGGGTTTATTTTGTATTTGTGATTTTATTATGTTAAGATTGAGATAATATTAAGTTCTGGTGTTATCATTTAGTTGGGGTTTAGTTGAGTTTTATTCTAGTTTTTGTTCCATCAATGTCTCCTGATTTACGAGTCGTTTCCTGTCCTCTGTGTTTTCACTTTCATTTATGCCAGTGCATTAGTCTCTCCCTTCTGATCCATGTTCTAATTGTCACCCTTGTGCTGTCGTGTCTATGCTCCATTATGTTTCCTGCTTGATTTTGTAAGTCTTGTTTCCATGTTCAGTGTGTTTAGTTTTGCTTCCCCTGTGGCATCATGTTTATTTGTTTCAGCTGTGTTTCCCCAGCTGTTTCCACTTCCAGCATTACCCTTCGGTGTGTTTAAGTCGCCCATCTTCCTCTGTTGAGTGTCGGGCTGTTTGGTTGTCTTCATGTCAAAGTTTCCAACTGTCCGGGTTCATGTTCATGCTCATACTCATTTTCATTTTCATGTTTTGATTATTTCACAGTTACATTTTTGCATGTTCGCATTCAGTTTCATGTCCTTGCCTCGTTCTTCTATTTCTTTTGTATCTTGTGTCTGCTTTTGGGTCCAATTCATAAACACACCAGCTATCCCTGCCATGTAATTGCATTATAAGAAGGCCTAAATCAGAGATTAGAGGATAATTAAATTAATTACACAATTCAATTCACATTACAATAAAAAAAACTTTGAGTTTCATTTGTAATTATTTGACTTTTGCATGTTATATCTTATTGCAGTCTGGTACAGAGAAACCCCACCACGCAATTTTACCTTCAGGTCCACGCACGCCTCCGGTGCCGGGGTCTCCTCTTTCTCCTTTGGGGCCATCAAACCCTGGACGTCCAGAGGGCCCTTGCAGCCCTGGTTTACCTTTAAGACCTGGCAAAGAGGCACAATCATTCTGATGATTTGTTTCCCCAGTTTGTAAGCAATAGTCACAACAACATTACAAGCAGTAATACAGACAAAGTTGTTTCATAAAATTATTAATGAGCATATTCATCTTATTTCTGTAAACACTGATTGAGAATCTTAATAGATCAACTACAAAACCTAGAGCCACAAAGTAAAATCATGCAATTTGCACCTGTATCTACAAATGAACAATGTGAAAGTGCATGCAAAGAGGACCTATTATGCTTTTCTCCATTTCCTGTTGTTCCATTGGTAGATTGGTGCATTAAACGTGGGCAACGTTTGAAATGTTGAGGTCATCTTGTGTAAAATTAAACTACTACGATCTATTCTTGGATCCGTGATGTCATAGAGAGGGATAGGCAGCCAATCAGAGAACATATGGTGTAAAGGTGTGTGTGTCTGTTTGTGCCTAACTGTGATCATCATAGAGTTTAAGGCTTTAAGGCTGTAAAATCACCATAAGACATCTGTTAAATCGTACCTGGTTGTCCAAGGAAACCGGAATCGCCTGGGTCTCCTGCCTCACCCGTAAATACGCAAGGCAGAGTTTGTCCTGGTAGCAGTCATACACAGGTTAGCATTCAGACTTCAAGCATTTGAATACACATTTAGAGTGAACACTTGGACACATAATAGCACATCTACAAATGTATACCTATTTATATATAAACACAGTTTTAGAGTTGTGTATTCTTTTCAACTAATCAAATCAGGGCAAAGAGTTGAAGTAGCGCAATGTAGCACAGGTCAAAATCACATGTTAAATACAAACAAAGACTTCAGTATAGTGAAACATCAACTTTAACACCATTGTAGACATATGTGATAATGTATTATTAGAAATAACTGCAAGATAAACACAGTGACACAGTAAAATGTTGGATAATTATATTCAGTGAATGTTTTGTTGAGGTGCTGATTGTCTATCGCCTCCACTCACGCCAACAGAGACTTTTTGTGCAGGGAGTTAGAAGCAAATTCATTATATTAAGAAGATAATGGGAATTAGAAATCCAGTGCAGGCTTTGTGTTTCATTTCATTCATTAATTAAAAGCATTTAGCAGAGGCTTGGCTTGAAAACATGCGCAAGATTTCAGCAGCTTTGATTGGACGCCGAGCGCGTATAAACAGCCCTGAAGCTCGACAGTCAATCATTGACTGACTGGGCCTGAGTGGAAACCCTGAAGATGCAGGGAGCGAGAAGCTTCCATCGGCCTCGTCATGAACAAATGATTGACAGTTAGCCAGTAGTTTCCAGAGTGCACTATGTTTCCCATGATTAAAGGAGGCTGGGGCTTTTTCTGAAAAGACTTCCCTTATGAAACATTTATAAGCTGTAATAAGACCTCAAACAATAGTCTGGGCTCCCAGACTGTGAAAAATATCTTTGACACAATGCTTTTTGACAGAGCTGCAGAAACACTGGAGTTTCTTAGGTGTTTACCAAGGGTCTACTAATATTACAAGGGCAGAATGATAAAAAGGATAAACATGGGCTATTTAGGAAAAATGCATAACCTGGCAACCCAAAGCTAATGAATGGCTTACATCCAGGCTATCACATCATTAACCCTCTGAGATCTAAGTCATCATCTGTGCCAAACCTAAGCTTAACTATAACCCCAAGCAATCAGAATCATTCTTTCTTTTTATGCCCAAATCTTGGCAATTAGGGAACAAAGACAACAACTTTTGTTTAACCAGATTATAGGCTTAGGTTTGGATTATGATCACAAGTTATTTTGTCTCCCTAAATATACTGAGTAATTTTTCCCTTTTCTATCTTCGAGGTCCTACAGGCCTGACTAAAGCAAAACCCATGGTTATATTTTTAATGGTCATCATTGATACCATGTCTTCTTTTCTCTCTGTTTTAGTTTCATGAATTATGACATTTACAGTTCTTTACACACTACTGCAATAACTTTGGACCCAACTGTTTGTGGGAGGTTTACTGGCCTAAAAAGTTTCTCTAGTTTCTGAAAGTCATATAATTGAAGCATCATTCATTGAATGTGGAATGCTCGTTTTTTGAAACCCATCGGACAGACCAAACAGGTTGCTTCCATTGTAAACAGCAGCAGCATATTCATCCACCAGCTGCTCGTCTGCCTGCAACTAACTCTAGAGGTTCTGTCGAAGGCTCACTAGCCTGGCTGGTGGATAAAAGAATCAGTTACCCACCCTGTCCCTCCTCGGCGTCATTAAGCCCTTCACAGATGCTTTCACCTGGATAGATACACATGCACAAAGGAGGTCAGAGAGACGAGGGGATGGATGGATGGGGGAGATAAAGACAGGTAGAGAGAGAGGGAGAGGCAGAAGGTGGCAGCATACAAAGCCAGTTAGGTTGATTTGCATGCCCCAATAAAGCCATTGAGTTGGGTTTTCATCACAACAGGTATCAGCAAATCAGCAATAAGTTCATTCAGTTCAGGCAAAAACAGGTTATTGCCGTCAACATGAGAGGAGAGAGAGGAAGGAGGGGCATCTGTGCGCCAGCGATGCATCCAAACACTTCGTTCTCTCTTAACTCCTACCAGCGACAATAACCTTCATATTAAAAGCAAAAATTAATCAGTCGTCATGGTATGAAAGCACACATTCATACTAAAGATGAGTGGCCAGCTGCTGCCGAAAGGTTTGTGTCATTTAGTCTCAGGAAGATGCGGGCGTCTGCTGCCGCCATCATTTTATATTCATTGTGGCTGTAGCAAAAAACTGAAAAGTGTAGCTAGAAGCTGACTGTTGATAAGCTAAAAAAAAAAAGATTTGCAAAGGAAAAAACACACAAAAACGATGTTTTGGTTTGGTTATGTAAATTTAGTTTAGCAGCAGATTTTTGGGTAAAAAGCCAGACATGGCAAACATCAAACTTCTCACCTGTTCTGAGACTAAACAAGCACAGTCGTTTTAGCTTAATCAGCAAATACATCATCATCATTAAGCATCAATCATTCCATTAAGGAAGCAGTTTATAGATTGTTGGCTGCAGGTGAAGTGTGTAAGTACATTAATGGAGACCGTTAATCATTTCGTTAATCGTTTGCTGCTGCAGCCGAGGAAACACGGAGAGCAGGAAGCTGCTTTGGAAGAGGAAATCTAACAAGAGCCACAAGCTCTGTCCAAGTCCTGGACAGGCTGCCTCACAGAGGTCTTATAATGATCTAGCATGTGAGGACGATAACTGTTGTGTGCTGAGGATGGACAGTGATGGGATGAGGTGGTGTGGATATCGCCCTGTGGAAGAAGACTGTATGACACACATTCACATATTTTATGTCATTCTCTGTCTCACGGACACACACTCAAAACACCATTATTTACCTTTCTCTCCAGGTGAACCCGGTATACCTGGAGAACCAGGTATACCGGGTTCTCCAGGGTCTCCACGCAAGCCGGGTGCTCCATCATAGCCAATGCCCGGCTCACCAGGGCCTCCAGGACGTCCCTTAGAACCTGGAAACCCTTGAAATCCTTTTTCTCCCCTTGAGCCGATGCCTGCATCACCCTAGAGAGGAGAGGAGAGAAGAGAAGAGAAGAAAGGAAAGGAAAGGATAGGAAAGGAAAGGAAAGGAAAGAAAAGGAAAGGAAAGGAAAGGAAAGGAAAGAAAAGAAAGGAAAGGAATGAGAAATGGAAGAGGGAATGGAAAATAAGGAAACAGGAAAGAGGATAGGCCATTAAAGGAAAGAGAAAACCAAGAAGAAGGAGAAAAGGAAAGTTAGAGGAAATATAAGAAAAAGAAAGTAAAGAAAGCAAAAAAGGGAAAGCAAAGAAGGTGAGTGGTAGAAAATATGAGTAAAACAAAAGAAGGATAATGAAAAGGTGGGAGAGAAAACAGAAGACAAAAGAAAATAAAAGGAAGGAAAAGAGAAAAGGGAAGGAAAGAGATGATAAAATACAAAATAAAAGGGGAAGAACAGAAAGGCACAGAAATGATACAGGAGAAGAAATGAAATAAGGGAATGAGATGAAAAGACAGCGAGAGACGAAAAACAAAAGAAGAAGAAAGGGGAAAAAACGAAATGAAAGGACAGAAAATATATGAGAGGAAAGAGGAAACAACGATCCTCATTTGGACGTCTTTTTAAAAACGTATTAAATGAAAATCTTTCTGAAGATGAACTAATATGTAAACTGTGTTTCGAAGGACTCACTGGGGGTCCAGGAAATCCAGGGAAGCCAGGCAGCCCGTCTCTTCCAGGATTTCCTGTTTCACCTGTAGGTCCTCTGGGTCCAGGATCTCCTATGACTCCCTTCAACCCCAGATTTAGGGTGGGGTAATATGGAGCCCCCTTCTCTCCCTTACGCCCGGGGAAGCCCCGCTGACCAGGAGGACCCTGCAGAGTTACAGAAATGTGAAACTTCAGAAACTGGTATGCATGCATTTAAATTACTTATCATTATGATTAATACGATGATGATGATGATTATTATTATTAATAATTCCCATTCAAGTCATATCAAGGGCAGGGTTTTGCTTACACTAGGTCCTGGACGACCACTGAAGCCTAGTGAACCGGGGTCTCCAAGAAAACCCTTCACCCCAGGCAGGCCAGGACTGCCATTGGTTCCTGGACGTCCAGGTGGTCCATCTAACCCCGAGAAGTCTCCTCCAGAACATCTGCAGTCACCAGGGTCGCCTGCGGGACGGCGGGATTAAGAATTGTAGATTGTCGCACTTTTGCTTCCATTTCCAGTAGTTGTGTTTTAGTTTCCTTGAATACCAATGCTTCGTATTTGTATTTTGCTGCTTGCTTTTCATGTGTGGGTAAACTCCTCACTCACCTCTTCACTTCTCGGCAACAATTTTGACTCATTTTGAAAAACGCGATGATTTAAATATATTTTTTGCGAGAAACAAATCATTTCATTTCATGAAGTCTGCATATCTGTGTGTACCTCTAAACCCTTTGGCACCAATGTTTCCTGGAAATCCTGTGGGACCAGGCGGCCCGGGGCCTCCAGGGGGAGCAGTTGGTAGACCTTCAGAGTCACCTGCACAAACACACACGCAAAGCTACACCCATTAGAGGTTACACTGACCGCAAAGTAGTTTTAAAAGTCACAAATTGTTACTTTAAGATTTTACACAAACACTTTATACTTGTTTAAGTTTCTTGAACTGATTTATTGCTTCTGCTTTTGAAACCAAGCTTTCAATAACCGGAAAAGGAATTACTCAAGCCAGCAGAGCGGAAGTGCGGCTTGAAACCACAGTTTAAAATCAGGTTAGTTTGCTTTGTTTGGTTTTCAGATTTGACAAAAGATTTAAGCTGCTGTTGCAAGATGAGAGGCTTATTTTTTGTCATCTTAAAATGTAAAACAACATGAACCCCTTCAGTGATTTTACATCGACCGTCATGGTTAAGAGCTACTCACCAGAAGCAGCATGCACAGCCTGTTGCAGTTCGGAGCCTTACCCCGGCAACGAAAATACCCAAACACAGTCATCTTCCATGCCAGTGAAATCATCTTTTGGATGTTTTTCCAATGATTTCCTTTCAGTATGTTTCACAGACTGTTTCTTCCTGTGTTTCCATGTGTTTGTTTTAGAAATAAACAGTCATTAAAGAAATCTTTTGCTAGCAAGCGTTAATGTCCACGTGAGATCTGTGAATTACGTTCACAGCAGGCGACACCTTGTCACCAGAGATGAGAGAAGCAGCTTGGATCAGTAGAGAGAGCCTCTCATATCCAAGACTGAAGCTGGCTACACTCTATACTAACAACCGCTCCCTCCACAGCACAGAAGTGATCAAATAAAGCATTGTGGCAGCTAGATGCTGGCTGTGAAAGTTGAGTCTGCGGTTTTGAATTTCACTTTGGCAGCGTGATTGTTGCTGGCGAGTTTCAAAGAAATATGGCTGCCTTTGGGATACCTGTAGGACTGACCTGTATCAGGATAGATGTAGCAGGGCTCAGCGTTTGTGCCTTGAAGGACAGCAAAGTCAGTCAGCTGTTATATTTGAAAGTGTTTCTATGTCTTGTCTTTCACTTCTACCGAGTAGTTGAATTTTATTGTGTTTAAGATGTAAAAACCTATTTTTTATATACTGAAAAATATTTTGCTTCAATCCCCGTAACCCCAACAGTAACAGAAACTGAGCACAACTTACACAACAGTCAAAGCTCAAACATGTATAAGAAAATTAGGAGGAAATAAAAATAAAGCTGTACTTTCAAATATTCGGTTTCTACTTCTGCTTGCCTGAGAGGGAAGGACCACAGAGCTTTATCTGCTGTTTTTGTGTAAATGTACCTGGAGGGCCTTGAGGTCCAGGAAGGCCACTGGGTCCTGGGGGCCCAGGGAGTCCTGGGAAACCTTCAAAACCAGTGGGCCGTAAGCCGGGGTCACCCACTTCTCCTTTTACACCTTTGGGCCCAGGAGGACCTCGAAGACCTGTGTGCACAGACAGCTTCTGTTGTCTAAAGATCATTACTGATGGTGGTTAATCCTCCGTGATCAGTGTGAATTTGTGTGTATTACCTGGACCAAAACGATCAGGTCCTGGTTGGCCGGGAGGTCCTGGAAAGCCTTGAGGTCCCTGGTCACCCTGGGGTCCTGGAAAGCCACGTAAACCCGAGTCCCCTGGAGGTCCTGCAACCAATCACAGAAGAGGTGGTTAAAGGGCCGGTGGTTCACAGGAACACATGTGTAAAAAAAACTCAAGGTGTTACCTTGAATAGCATAACCCCCATTAACAAAAGAGCTAGGTCCTGGGGGTCCGGGGTCTCCCTGGTCTCCCTACAAGGTGCACCCAAAAAACAGGTTAGAGCAGAAATATTGATGGTATCATCTCTCTAAACCAACATATAGATAAGTAACCATTTTCAGTTAGCTAACCATAAAACCCAGAGGGTGCATCTGAAAATGTGTCATTGTGGCAGAGTGATATTAACATTTTGTGCTTTCAGTGATGCTCGTTTGCTCTTCTGGCTGTAATGAGCTGTTGTTGAGTTACTGCCTTCTTCTCAGCTCAGAGTAGTCAAGCCGCTCTCCTTTGATATTAACAAGGCATCTTCACCCACCTTGCTTCCTCATTCTTTGCTCGGTTTGAACCTCAGCAGGTCATCTTGACCATGTCAACATGTCCAAATACGACTGCTGCCATATTATCAGCTGATTAGATATATGTTACCAAGAAGTCAAAAGGGTTTAATGAAATGTCCTGTAACTGCTAAGCTAGGGTAGTGTCTATAAATGAAGATCCGTGATTAGGCAATTTAATTATTGTTAATGTTTTATATTAAAAAATATCCGCTTTTACAAGTCGTCATTACCTCTGTAACAAGAGTAGTATATGTGACAGATAGAGCAATAAAAATTGCTACCATCAGTGTGAGCACAGTAGCCCCATCTGCTGGTGAAATAGCAGAGAAGCTTTATACAAACTTTGCCCTTTCAGCTGCTGCCTTCATGCCTACGGCGTGTGGATCTGATATATTGTGGTGTTATAAATTCACAGGTTCACTACAAATGATATAAAAGTTCTTTTTAGTAAGAAATGTTGATGTCTCTTTATAATAAATAGGAAAACACAGCTGTAAGAAAATACCCCTGACTTGTACCATACATCTGCTTTAGAGGAACAGTGATTCTACCTTGAATCCTGGGTATGCCGATGAGCCTGGGGTGCCTGGACGTCCTTTGGGTCCCTGGGTGGAAGAAGAAAAATGAATCTAAATTGAACATACTGTACAGGTTTAAAGACTAATGGCTATCATGCCGTGCAGCAGGGGTGTCTGTGTTGACAATAATATATATATTTTGTCATGAGTTAGGAAATAAGAGGATGCAGTAACTCCTGAGTTTCCTATAGATATTATGAGGTTATGTGAAGTGTACTTCGAAGTATGTACTGTATTTTTTCTTGGTTTTTGTGGGACTTTTTGGTTGTGAATGCACATGAATATGATTCTTAACATGGAGTAAGGGCAACAAATGTGTTGCTCTTTTTTTCTATGATTTAAGACCATCAACTACATTTTTACATATTACTCTGTGCTTGCAGTCTTACAAACCCTACCTGCAGTCCTGGAACACCGGGCGGTCCGTTAAACCCTGGAGCCCCCTGCTTGGCAGAAACACAAACAACACCCACCACAGAAGAAGAGGAAATGGTGAGAGGAGTTCCCCTCACAAAGGGAAATAAGGAAGGAATTTCAAACAGTAATGTCACTAAATGCACTTTAACTGAAGCCAAAAAGCAGCAGTCTTACTCTGCTCCCGGGGTATCCAGGAATGCCCTTTTCTCCATATTCTCCAGGATAGCCAAAGGGTCCCTGTGATTCAGCGACAAAAAGGAAGGTCTCCTGAATCACAATTTCTCCTAAAATGCATCTTGCATGGTGGGCATGAAATAAAACATAAACAAGCAAACTGTTTGAATACTTACAGGTAGGCCGGGTATTCCAGGGTATCCTTTAGTTCCCTTTGGACCGGGGTCACCCTTTGAGAGAGGCAACGAGAGAGCAAAGTAAACAACAGCAAAAAATCCATCCTTGTTACGCACTCCATCCCCATTTGTTTTTCATCCATTGCCTTTAATAAATCATGGATCCTGTTCACGTGTGGTTTCTTCTTTGCGCGGTAGAGCTTTAACTGGCATTTTGTGGATGAATTTGTGGAAGTGTTCCTGAGCCCATGGAATGATTTCCATGAGTGAATCATTCCTGTTTTTAATGCCGCGCCGTCTGAGCACCCAGAGATCACAGACAACCAACAGGAATCTTTGGATTCCCCCAGATTCTCCAAATCTTTTGATATTATGCGCTGTAGATGACGACATATTTTAAGTATTAATAATTTGATATTGAAGCACATTATTATGAAATTATTCGACAATTTGCAAAATGTTGAACCTCTGCCCTGCATTACTTCTGAGAGGCTCTTTTTATATCCAGTCATGTGACTCACCTTTGGCCAGTTAACCATTTTTCTTAAAATTACGCATTTTCTCAGCTATTCATAAAATATTTGCAAATCATTGCATTCAGTTCTTATCTAGAGCACATTTAAAGCGTCACAATTTGGGGGATAAGTGGGTTTTGTATTTAATTGTGCTAAAATCAGGATCGTCTGCGACAGTCATAGTTTGCTGGACAGTCAAGTAGACGTACTCCTCTTGTTGAAATGCATGCAGCACTGTTGTGCCTCAAGTCTGTTGCATGTAATTTAATAACAGTGACTGTTAGTGCCTCCCTAATTTACAGTTTTGATGAAGTGGAATTAAAGACGTCATTTTTCCACATCTTTTCCTTCCATTTGTCTCTTATTCACGTAGCCTGAGGTTTATTATTTGACCTTCCAGCTGTGAAACCTTTACTGACTCAGGCATGCAAAAGGTCTTATAAAAGTCTGGAGATCACTGAGGTCTCGGAGCAAGAGCTACCAAAAGAAAGGATTGTCATTATCGTGATGTATGTGGCGTTTTTCCATCACTGTGCGGCTGTGATCTGATTTAATCCTGCTTCAGTCTGATAAAAACAACACCTTGCTAAGAAAACGGTCTCATGCAGCTCGTCATTTAACAGCTTAATGTGGCTGCTGCTGTCTGCTTAGACCCTAAAGCACTAACATGGGGTGATTTCACCCACGCGGTGAGTAAATATCACTCAGTGGTATTTCCCAAAAGGTATATGGTCAGCTGGTCACCTTCACCCTTCCAATTTTTTGTTGTTGTTGTTCATCTATCCTACTGTTTTCAGTGATGCAGGGAGTCTGTCACCTCCCTGGAAAAGGATCACATTTCCCAGGAAAAAGTTTCTTTTATTTTTGTAGATTTTTTTCTCTTTGATACCTTTTTTTGTAGAGATAAAAGAAGAGTCCTTTTTGCCGTGCATTTTTCTACTTTAATACGTTTTGGGAAGCATGTTTTAACTGATCTATTATATCAGGGGAAATGTTCCCTGACATTAGCGATAGCGTTACAAAACTAGATGTTAGTGTTGTGAATGCGTTCAATATAAAGCTGCAGCATTAGCATAGTGTCGGTTTTTAACTTTCTGAGTGGCCATAGGCTCAGAAACTATTCTGCTTGCCTCTACAAACAGAAGTTAGATGCATTCGCACAAAGTCTTGGTACTAATCTTTAATTACTAAATACTAAATACTTTTTCCCATAATTTGCTCCAAATCACAGAACATCTCAACATCATTCCACATTGTAATCAGACTTTCCTTAAGTTTGTCACCCACCATGAGCCCAATAGTGGTCAGATAATGAGCCTCATGTAACTATTCTGTAACCACTGCACATTTGTTCAATTGTCACTTGTCTGTCTGTGCTGAATCCTTTACAAACACTCTTAAAGAACAACAAACATTAGCCGAACACACAGATCATCCCGGTGGTCAGGCGTCGGTCATCCAGATTCCAGAGGTGCTGTAAAAGGTCATAAAGTTAACACTCTGCTGTAAAAAGAAGTAACACTGGTTTAAAACACAGTATGTCTCAAACTGTATTCACTTCTCCCCTGTAATATTCACATTTTCTCCAACATTCTCTCAACAACACAGTGTAATTTCATCATCAACATATAGCCTGTAACTACAGTTTTCTTCATACAAAATCTCAGTAATCCTGTGGTAGAAAAACATCATTAAGTTGTGTCCTGCTGTAAATCACATGATCAAATCAAATGATTAACCATCTGTTGTAGAAAAGAAATGTAAATATTAGCGCTGCGCAGGTGTATACACTCTTTCTCACAGTGATCTCTGTGAGGAACACAAGTCCATGAATAACACACTGCTGGTAAATTCACAGACACAGAAAGTGGCATTCAAAGGTTAAATCGGCACAGCCCAAAGCTCATGCAACCTAGGATGTTGCCGTCATCTTTGTGCTCCTGTAAAAAGAAACACACGTAGATTCATCCACCGTTTGTCATGTCTAGGTGGAGGTTAACCTTGAGTAGTGGTCAAGTCAGTCAAGTCTTGTCAGCTTTCACCAGTCCAGTCAGTTCCCCATTTTTTATTTTCACTCATTATTCATTCATTCCTTCCTTGATGATAGTGGAAGCGATCGTCGCATTTCGTTTCCACCCTCAGCATAATGACGTCATTTCAAAAAGAAAATTTTTTAGACTGGATTACCTCGATGAATCCTTATAGAAAAAGGGACTCATTTCCCAATTGTCCCGAATAAGTGGCTTTCTCCTGAGCCCATTTTAATTTTGGAGAACTCACTTTGCAACCGTTCGCAACAACATGTTGTGTAGTTCTTCCTATTCAACGTTAGGGATGGGTATCGTTTAGGTTTTATCCGATACCAGTACCAAATCGGTACTTTTGAAACGGTGCCGGTGCTTAAACCGGTGCTTAAAGAATGAAGAACACAAACTTTGTCCAAAAACCTCTCATGTTCAGCTGTTTTTTTGTAAAAAGATAACAATGTTAGCCTTTTCTGCAGCTATA